TATCAAGAGATGCGGAAAGTTCAGGGACCGCTCCCCCCCCTTTTTCGAGTGTCTAGAGGTCTAGTAATGCCATTTAGATAAGTTTAAAAGTAATGAGTTTCTTTACTTAATTTCACTAATATGTATATAAAGATGCGGCTAATAAAATCAGAGACGGTAATTTCTATTGGTCATTCAGATCAGGAAAGAGCTTTTCAAGCGTCTGGAAGAAGCCAGCATTTACTCCCATTGCTCAGTAATACGCTTTATGTTTTACAAAACTCATATATATATCTTAGTTAGGCATAAAACATCACCTTACTATCATTTGACAAAGTTAAATTGATAAATTTAAATCTTAAAAATGCAAAGTTTGAAGCCGAAAGATTCGATTTGGGGAACTTAATTGCACTGCAACACAAATAATAATAAATAATTTAAATACACAAATATTGTATATTGGATAGGACTTCTCAGGCATGCGTCTAACTTAACATTTAAAGCCCACATGGACGATAAACGTTTTTGGCTGAAGTTGATATCAGTGCCATCGATTTAATTTTTGTATCATTTGACAAAGAGAGGGTTCGTCAATTTCTAACGACATGTAATTTGGTTAGGTTAGCATATTTGAATACGGCAAAGCACGCGAGGGGTATCTACTTAAGGGAATGGACGTCTTCGTGGAAGACTTTCTAAGGGAAACTGGCTCGTAATTAGTACGTTACACAGGCGGGGATGCGGGAACCACGAAAACCAACCATGTAGGCAGCCATTTCGCTTGGTATTGAAATCGAATCGAACTCTGACCATTCAGCGGTCTTAACAATTCGGCCACTGGTTAGGCGACATGCATTTCGGAGGAGTCTGGAGGTTCAACATCACTTAAATCTTCATCTGAACATATAAAGTGTGACGTCGTGGATGCTCCAATTGTAAGGGAAGTAACACTGGTATTGGTGATGCATCACTTTTTTATTCACGACACAAGACACAGATACAAAATTTAATTAATACATTTAGAAAACTGTTACGAGATATCCGAGGATGGTGATACTATCAGAGACGTTAAAGAAATGGCACTTGTCATTCACTGGACGAATAAAAAATCTCCACACCTTCGCTCGCTGGAGGAGGCTCCCAACTCTCTCTCCGACAGGCGTCGAAACCACATCTATTATATTTGTGCATGCGCATTACTCTGTAACGTCGTTATCATCCAGAGTTCTTTATAACCAAAGTCTATTTCCTTTTCAGTTCTTACAGGATCAAATAAAATAGTCAGGAGGCCTTTTCTTTATTGGATACTAGCTGTACCCGCCCGGCGTTGCCCGTGCATTTAGAAAATGCAGATAAGTGAATAGCGCAGGAATAGTAGTGTAGGACATGTAGACTGTCTCTCTCTCTTCCCCCCCCACAAGCTACAAAAAAGAAATGAATTGTAATTAATCGATTTAATGTATCGTCAAAACAGCAAACTAACGCTAGAATAAAGAAATCAATTGTTACAATCGAACGTTATTTGAAAACAAATAATAATATCAGTGAGTCAAAAAAACCGTGATTAATTAATTATAAATAATAAGCTACAAAAAAGAAATGAATTGTAATTAATCGATTTAATGTATCGTCAAAACAGCAAACTAACGCTAGAATAAAGAAATCAATTGTTACAATCGAACGTTATTTGAAAACAAATAATAATATCAGTGAGTCAAAAAAACCGTGATTAATTAATTATAAATAATTTTTAAAAAATTTTTCTAATTCAAAAATCGAAAATCGGGCTTCGAGGTCTGGTGGCCAGCCCCTTTGTGCTTCCGTATAAAAAATTCCAGGTCCCTGCGTGCGATAGATTTGGCTGGAGAGCTCGGTCAGACAGACAGACAGACAGACAGACAGACAGACAGACACATTACACTTGCTTTTATTATTAATGTATCGTCAAAACAGCAAACTAACGCTAGAATAAAGAAATCAATTGTTACAATCGAACGTTATTTGAAAACAAATAATAATATCAGTGAGTCAAAAAAACCGTGATTAATTAATTATAAATAATAAGCTACAAAAAAGAAATGAATTGTAATTAATCGATTTAATGTATCGTCAAAACAGCAAACTAACGCTAGAATAAAGAAATCAATTGTTACAATCGAACGTTATTTGAAAACAAATAATAATATCAGTGAGTCAAAAAAACCGTGATTAATTAATTATAAATAATTTTTTTAAAATTTTTCTAATTCAAAAATCGAAAATCGGGCTTCGAGGTCTGGTGGCCAGCCCCTTTGTGCTTCCGTATAAAAAATTCCAGGTCCCTGCGTGCGATAGATTTGGCTGGAGAGCTCGGTCAGACAGACAGACAGACAGACACATTACACTTGCTTTTATTATTATAGATAAATTACTCAATACAAAAATATTTTGTGTCCTTTAATAAAATATGTCTATCCTGTCTAGGTTTACTCTTGGAATTCAGAGAAAGAATTTCGAAACAAATTCAAATTCACAAACTTCGTGGTACGTTTAAAAGTAATAAAATTCATCAGGAGCTGAATTATGAATTCAACCTCGAACATACTAATACCACCTTTTTAGAGTTTCATGAAAAACTAGCTCGTATAAATAATGGTACTAAATTTTATGATCATGTCATTAATGATCTTAGTTATAAGAATTTATCATCGAAATCTACATATGTTTAAGTTAACTTTACAAGTTACGATAATATATTTGCAATGCTTTTAATATTAACGATATTTCGTATTCTGCACTATTTATATCATATTTGCATATTTTCAATCATATTTTTACTGATAACTTCTGCTGGAGTTGTTGATTACTGTATCCGCAGACACGCGGAGCTGTTAATAGGATACAATTTTTTTCTTAACTTATCGTTCCATTTATAGTTTCATTAGAATTTAATTATATATGATCACCATTTAAAAATTAAATTTATAAACATTTAAAATTAAATTTAAAACATTTAACATTTAGAAACTGTAATTAATTAATAATTTCGAAACTCTAAACGTTTTCAATAGAGGGAAGAGTTTTCAATCCAGGGGCTTCACGCACTATATCGCGATACCGTGAAATATTTCAAGATTTGTCTAAATTGTACCGTATTTATGCCTAATGAAGGTTTCTGTTTTCAGCAACATTACGCCTTAACGTGGACTTCATGGTATCAAATGAACAGTTCTTTTAATTATATAAACTCAGGACGTTAATGAAATTGGAACAGTTATGCCAATGATATAAATTTTGTTATAATACGCCTATTAAACTCTCATTAGCTTTAAGCGCGTATTTTACTTAAATGCGATCCTGAAAAATGTCAGTTTGCCTTCGTAAAAGTGTTTTCTCTTGCACATTTAATAGTTATTGCATCAACATACGTTATATACCCTCCCAACCGAGTTAGTGGTTTGCGACTCTAACTACTGTACCAAAGGGTTCGGGTTCGAATCCCGGAGAAGGCATGGATGTTTGTAAATGTTTAGTGTCTGTGCGGCACGGTAGCACTCAAAATATACAGCGAGCCAAAAGTCCTCTCGAGAGGTTGGTGGTAAGGAAAACAGTTAGGAGGCCACCCCTCGGGTGATCTCCTTCCAGACTGAGGGCAGAACTGATCAAAGTTGTACTGTCACCTGTATGATGTCCAACGCTCTTGCCATTGACAGGGGCAATCTTGCCTCCTTACCACGATGAATTTCGTGGGCATTTTCTGACATCAGACAAGCAAGATTAGCCACAACAACATACGTTGTATACCAATTACCAATACATAATCTCTAACCACTTGCTTGATTAAAAAAAACGTTTTATTGCTAAAATTCTTTTCAAGCCTTTCTTTAGGATTTATCTTAAAAATTCATTAAGAAAAAAAAGAGATATTCTCTGGTTTTTCTTCCTCCTATCCTATCTACGTCATTTATTTTTTTTTCCACTGACCAGAAATACATCAGTAATAGGTTATATGAGAGCATCTAAAGACGACGCCCCGGTAGGATTGATTTGATTAGAATGAGAGATAAGAATAGAAACAAGATACTCACTTCCCTCAAGTTTTAATGAAGTTCTGTGCACTATTGTAATGAAGTTCTATGTTCTACTGTAACTATTATAATTACCGGAAACTATTCTGCAGTGTAGTCAGTCTCCAAATGGAAACTCTGCATTTGTTATTATTTTAAGCAATCAAGTTGTAGTTTCTATTAACGAATTTTAACCTGATCAATTTTAAAACAATATTTAATTATTTAGAATTTTTAACTGGAGATTCAACAGCCACGATGCGATAATTCATCAGAAAAACGAAGCTGCCAAGTGGATTTAGTTTATAAAATACAGTCGTACTTTATAAATTATTCAAAATCATTTGATTTTAAGACCTGTTGCAAAATTAGAACTGCGTTTAGAAAACTGAGCGTTGATGAATTAAAAAAAATAAAAAAAAAACCTCAACAACCCCCAAAAACAAAATATTATTGTCAAATGATCTTGTAAAAAAAGATTGTGACTTTATTTATAATGCCAGCGTATTGAAAGCGTATTGAAAGATTAAACTACCTTTTAGCCACCCATTCCACTCCCTACATAAAAATCCTTAAATCTGTATGAACCAGCAGCCAGAAACTCCTCGAATACTGTGGAAGCTTTCGTTGAAGAATAAGGCGTTAAACAGATGCACATGTACATGACTTTTTTACTTGCCCCTTATATGCTACAACTTAATTAAATCATTACACTTATAAATATTCCCCCAGATTAAAATTTTATTTTACTGTTAAATATCTCTCATTTCTGAGGATTTTCCATTTTTTTATATATTTCTCCATACCTATTTTCAGGTTTTTCCCTAAGCAAGTGTTCCAGACTTGTTCTGTTGTTCAGATTGTTCAAATCTGTTTTTAATACAGTTTTTTTAACACAGGATTTGATGTCCGTTTTCCCCCTTTTTTATACTTAGGTAATATCAGCAATTTTTTGTAAAGTAGAAGGTAACTTACTTGTGTCTCAGTAACATTTAAGAGTTTAGCCATCTCAGTTCTTTCGCTGGAAGAAAGATACTTCTTAATCTCAAACTGTTTTTCCAACTCGAAGATCTGCCGTCCAGTGAAGGTTGTTCTGGCTTTTTTCCTCTTGCCCTTGTCCCCGCTCTCTTGGTCACTACCACAGCTTGGAGGCTTATTGTCCCCGAGGGTGGAATTGAGATTGCTAGAGCAATTACTGTTGCCATTCAGACTGCCCGGTGGACTGACACTACTTAAAGCACCAGGTTCACCATCTGTAACCTGTCCCACAACTGGACTTTTGTTATTGTTTCCATCAAGTGGTGGACTTTGCTTAGTTTCTTTTTTCCTTTTGCTTGATTTGTTGACTGTGTTATGAGGTTTACCTGTAAATGAAAAGCAACTGACATTAGTCACAATTATAAAATCTCAAAAGTTTTTAACTTTGGTGTAATGTTAATGTTTCGATAATTGAAGAAATTAATGATTTTTCAGATATCATCTACATATCACTTTGATAAAGCTATCATTAAGCAGAGAAAAATGACAGAAATTCATAATAGACATAGAATTCTGAATTTTCACTTTAAGTAAGCAGGCAAGAAGGCATTCATTGTTTTTTCTTTACATCGAAATATCCTTTTCTAATTACATTTTAATCAAAATGCAAACACTTTACTACGTTTTAAAATACATCAGGTGATAATGAAAAACAATTATAAGACATAACGTAAATTATTATACTATAACACATGATATATGTATGCATGTAGGTAAGTATAAAACGTTGTTTTGTACTTCTTTGACGCTGGAACCATGGTAATTGTTTTAATTCTGTCCATCCCCTTGAAGAATAGCAAAATTAAGCTAATCATATTTTGTTCCAAGTTTTTAGCTCTTTAGATTTATTTGATTCAGCTTTCGAATTTTATGTTTTCTTCCTTTGGTTTCTAAAAAGGTTATTATAAATTTTTGTATTTTTATTTACTTATTTATTTATTTTTTTACAATTTTTAATGTCTCTTATCAATGTTCATTGCCCCCTCCACCGTGTTTATGGAAAGTTAAGATAAATTTAAATATACATTTAAGATATGGGAATGGACTAAAAAAAAAAGAAAAATCAAATACTCATTCATGAATAATGTTATATTATAAAAGGTTAAGTTAATTTGATACGGCAAAACACACAAGGCCTATCTGGCTATGGAAAGGATGCCTTCGTGGGGAATTTTTTTTAAGAAACTGGCTTGTATTCACGTTACACATGGGGGAAAACATAAAAACCATTTACGCAAGCAGTCCGTTGGCCTGGGTTCGAACTTGGGTCCAACTTTCAGCATTCAGCTGATGGGATCTATGTTACAATAACAGTACCCTGTGTATCCAAACACTGATACTTAGATTAGATAACAAAAGTAAAGAAAGAGCTAAATAGAACAGCTTTCATATGCATAATTGTTTGTACCCTAAAAAAAACTTTTTTACTTAATACAACATATCCCACAAGGCTAAGACGCCTCTTGCTCTTGATTCAGTTTTGATTAACAGCACCTCAAAGAAATGGTTTCAGATACCGATTGGCATGAAAAGAAGTTATTTTAGAAGATAATAGTGATAAAGTTTTTCTGCTTACTTACTATATCTCTCCTAAATGAAAGGCATTTAAAATTTAAAATATTAATTAATTTAATTAATCTGGGAATGAAGAAAAAATAAATATAATAGTAATTTTTATTATAAAGCTAGCATTGTAGAGACATTCGATTATTTCGAAGCAAGAGACATGAAAAATTAGTAATGCCCTCGCCGGGACTCGAACTCCGGAACTCTCGAATACGCGGCGATCGTGCTGACTGTTACACCACGAAGGCATGCTAAGAAGGTGGGAGAAATGTCTTGTATACTCCCCCTTTTAAAGGGCGACTTGGGCATGGGGGACCCAATCGCCAAATCTTAATGGTGGAGAATTATCATCCACCACTTTAGTTCGGGCGCCACTGTAGAGTTATTATTAAGTACTTTGAAGCAGGAAGACGTGAAAAATGAGCAATGCCATCGCCGAGACTCGAACCACGGACCTACGCGCCGAGCGTGCTGACCTCTACACCACGATTTACCTTATAGCATACCTTATAGCATTTTCTTATACCTTATAGCATTTTCTAATTCCATTTACCATGAAGGCTGCTTCTTCATATAACTAATTTATTTCTTTCCTGTATTTTAATGCACCAACAAAATATTTGGCCTTAAATAAAGGAGTTTAGATATTTGTACATGATAAGTAAGTGGTATCTTCTTAATTTAACAGAAGCACAACTCAGCCAGCTTGCGGGTAATTTAAATGCAAGTTCAGATTCAACTGAAAGTGAAATACAAAATCAGCGGGTCTAACTAAACCTTGGCTCCTTCGTAGCGTTCGTGAAAAAACACCGGCAAGCAGAGGCTTAAGCCAATAAATTAAATTCAACAGCAAGGGAAGCTAAGAAGAATGACGGTCAGCCTAAGTTACCAAGTTACCGTCTTCTAAAAACTCAAGAATTTTTATATTTATTTTTTAACTAATTTGCATTCTGGTGGAGGTAGACAAAACAAAAAGCAAAAAGATAAAATAGCTGGGCTAATTAATATTAACCTTATATATTTAATGTAGAAAGTTATACAGATTGCTCGTCTACAGGATTTATATCTTTAAATATCTATGCTAAACATGAGCTTCCAGTTACAGTTTTTCCAAAACAAAGTACAGAATTTTATGAAAATACTTTCAAGAGTTATGGCTTTGTAAAGTTCCAGTCAAGACAAAAAAAAAAAAAAAAAAAAAAAAAAAAAAATGTTTTACTTAATGAAACGTCCACTACATTTTGCAAAGTTAAATACAAAAAGTTGTACACATTTACGTATATGCTAGTAACTAACAGCTAATATGAAGTTAGTTACGATCGCTGTTTTACCTAGTACGGAGCTATCAGCACCTTTTGTTTCATAATTTCTCTTAATTTTGAAAAACATCTCTTCAGAATCCTTTAGTAACATACACTGAGAAATAATTTGGACATCATACTAAAAGAGTTTGTTCCCGGTCAGTAGTCCTCCTTAGCAGTGTAAAAGTAAAAAAAGAGTAAATTCGTTCTTGAGTATTTAACCTGAATTTTTTAACTAAAGCTATGGAAATTTCACTGAAGTCATAATAAATCGAAATTTTTCTGTATGGTGACTGCGTAAAATGTTATGTTTTTTATCTTTTTCTCACCTGATGAAACTATTTTCATAAACTTCATCAACTCATTTTGAAAATCTTTGTAATTGAGCGTACATGGCTAAGACAATATTTTAGGAAATAAATCCCTAGACATCTTTTCTAAAAAGCTATATAATGCTAAAACCAGCAAATTAGTTTCCTGAAATTCAAAACAGATTTTTGGGGTAAGAAATGTTTGTCAACATGTTAAAGTTTTTACATTAAAATATATTACGTAGCTACTATTTCACATAAGAAATAATTTATAGCAAGAAATTAACTGAAGTTTCGAATGTTACCAATATTTTAAACATTTAAATAAACGGAAAGAATGTATTAATTTAGAAGTTAAACAACAAAAATCAGCGTTATATTTTCAAATTTTCGCAGACTAGTTTCGATGGTTTTACGAATCATCAATCTCAGCCGCAAAAGCGCAGACGAACGAAATAAGATATAGTGATTAGATAAGATAGGAAATATCCTAATTATTGGGCATATTGTGTTTAAAAAAACGCAAAGTAAATTAAAATTTAGTAAATAAGTTCACTTTTATAGAATAGAAATTATTAGAAAATTTATCTTGATGACAAGAATATATTGTTGAATAACAAGTTAAGAAATAAACTTGAGAATATGATTGTAAAATGAAATCGTCAAACATATTGTATATTATGATACAAAAGACGTGAAGTAGTAAAATTCTCACATATGTTTTCTAAAGAACGAGTGAAGTACGGGAAAGTATCATTAAAAAATAGCATTTGCTTTAGCGGAAACGTTATTTCTAATTTGATAATTCCTAATATTTCATAAAAAATAAACATATCTTATAATAAATTTTAAAAAGTGTATTATTTATTAGCGTTTTCTGGAATACAGGGAAGTTAATATAAATTTAATTTTTATCCAACTTATGTAGAATAATTATTATTCAAGAATAAGATAATAAAGACTTAATGACTATAAAATTTAATGACTATAAAACTTAATGACTATAAAACTTAATGACTATAAAAATACACAAGGCCTAGACAATTTTTCAAACAAGGCATAATCTTTTCTACATTATATCTACATATATTCCTTAAGAATACATAAAATCGTTTTCTAAATAATAATGTGACATTGCACATTGAGATGCACGATCTTATTCACTTGACGTCATTCCTTGCTATATTATTCTCATCTTTTATAAGGATGAATACATTTAATAGAAAATGAAGGCAACACAATTATCTAAAATTATAGAAAGATGTATTCTAAGTATGTTTTCTTTCCTGCTTAAAAGTACCTTTTGAATGCATTTTAAATGCATTTTTTGAGCCTAAAAAGGAGTACTAACATCAAATCCGCAACGAAAAGGCCGAGTTCTATTTCATGAGGCAGTTTATCGGCAGTTAAATGCGGTCGTTTCATTTTATTTCCGATATCCCATGAAGGGGAATGAATAAAAAGAGCTAAGAATAAGATTGAAATATTTGTAGCGGTGGCCTCACAAATGGAAGAAAAGTGACGTCTCTCCTGCCGGCAATTGCTTTTGGAGCTCAATCAAAAACCCAATTCTACCTTATCAAGCGTCTTTTCGCTTCTTTCGATGGCTGCATCTCAACCTACAAATTTACCATCTGCTGACACTTATTTCCTTATTGTCACTTCCATTGTCGCCATAGTTCTGACCAGAAAACACTTGACATCGACGAAAATCTCGCCTGCTATGGTTTGGCGTTACAGGGGGCACGCTCATATTACTTCCCAGTTAAGAAATTGGGTCAAAGAGAGAATCGTTATACCAAGATGTCGCATCCTAAAGCGCGGAAAGTCTTTTCCATCGCGCATTAACTCAGAACAACTTCTTAATCTACTGTATGTACTTATTTTGTATACTCCTGAAAATTCCTGTCTTATCATTTATTATCTGAAGATATACTTGCGTGCATTCTTGTATTAATAAAATAATTAAAATAAATATATTGAGTTGGTTCTTCAGTTTCTACACTTTCTCTAACATAAAAATTTATTCAAGGACAAACTCAACAAACGCTTTATTTTAAAACATTTAACTTACATGTTTTTTTCCCTTCAAGCTTAGACAAGTATATAATTTATTTTTCTTATAGCGCAGATTAGATGCATGAAGAA